GCATTATATATATAAGATTATGCAATATGTACTATTTATTCTTGGGGAAAGTAAGTTTTCAATAAATAGTTGAATAAATAAATGATGTAAACAATGAGTAAATAATATAATCCTAATCTTTAACTCAGAGAAATGTTGAAAGAATTAGCACTTGATGGGGAGCCTGGGTGGCTCAGCTCATTAAGTGTCTGCCTTCAGCTCAGGTCATGATCACAGGTTCGTGAGTTCGAGCCCCACATCAGGCTCTGCACTAACACACACATCAGGCTCTGCACTAACAGTGCAGAACCTGCTTGGGATTTTTTGTCTCCCTCTCTCTCTCTGCCCCACCCTTGCTCATGTGCACTTGGGGAGAGGAGGGGCTCTCTCTCTCTCTCTCAAAAATAAATAAACATTAAAAAAAAAAAAGAATTAGCACTTAACAGCCCACATAGCATAATCTATATCCTAAAGAAATGCACTAAGAAAACTGGGGCAAATTCACAAAATTCTGTGTTCTTTATTCACAAACTATCTTGTTTCTTATAAAATAAAAAAAACAATGTTAAGTCTTTAAGTTGACTACTAAATATTCGTTGGTTACTATACAAGTGGACCTAGAAAACAAAGCGCAAAATGTGAAACCTGTGCATTGGACTATCTCATTGAGACAAAACATCAAGGTCAAATGTGCAACGCTGCTGTGGCCACGGAACTCCCGCGTGAGCCAGAGGCTGGGTGGCACGCAGTGAAGAGTACAAGCAGGACACAGACAAAGACGCTCCAGGAATACATGTGACTGTTCCCCACAGTGTCTTCATCTTCTTGATCTTCCTCTGGTTGTGCATTTTTGTGTAATAGGTATGATTCCCAAAACACTTAAGAAGCTCCTATTCCCCAAATTCTGCAATGTTCTCATAGGCTAAGCTTTAAAAGATATGAGTGTTCCTTACTTGGATCACATTCAACCAACAGAGATGTTTCAAGTGCCCAGAATATTAACTAGGCTTTTTTTTTTTTTAACATTTTTTGTTTATTTTTGAGAGACAGAGGGCAAGCAGTGGAGGGACAGAGAGAGAGAGGGAGACCCAGAATCCAAAGCAGGCTCCAGGCTCTGAGCTGTCAGCACAGAGCCCGACGCAAGGCTCGAACCGACAAACCGGGGAGCTCATGACCTGAGGCGAAGTTGGACGCTTAACCGACTGAGCCACCCAGGAGCCCCTTAACTAGTTTAATTAACATTTATTTAGTTCCTTCTCCTGGCCCCAAACACTAGAGGCCTACACACAAGAAGTAAAAGGCAAACGCAGCATGCCTGAGGCAGTTGAAAAGCACGTATGCAACACCCACTCTTCACAAAGAAGAGCTTATGATTAATGAATACGATAAAAAGAGAATGCCCGTGTTTGATTAGCTGTCTTACATGGACCTTTAGGAGGGAGACAGATCATTCCATGGATGCCAACAACGGAACGCTCCTGACCTATATGTTGCTCAAAGAAAGTAGAAGGACTGAAATCAGGGGATTAAGAGATGAAACAAAACTGCAGAAGGGACGAAGGTAACATGGGAATGATTCAGCGGCGAGTGATTTCTTTTCCTACTTGATAATGTTATTCCAACACCCACCTGCTATTCAGAAGTACCTTGGAAACTTGCATATGATGTATGGCTCACCAAAGACTGGAATTCAGAAATTAAGTGTCTAACCTGCTAAGTGATATGACTTCATTGAAAGATCATCATTAAGGCAATGGTTTCAAGTGTGAGGACAGAGCCGTACTGGAATGGGAGATTGCTGTTGGAAGCCTGGACTTTCAGAGCCACAGCGAACCTTACAGAGCCTCTGTCTGACTTCCTCACATTTCGGGAGGAGCTCCAGGTTTTCTACTCAACACCCATCCTCTCCTCGAACTCACTTATTCAACAACTATGTGAATGCCTATTCGTTCGCCAGTCTCTATCTTCTCCAGGTGCTAGGGATACGGTTGTAAACAAAATAAGAGTCCCATGCCTCATGAAGCTTTCATCCTAGTGGGGGTGACTGAGGGAAATAAGTAAATTAAAATCATGGTATACTGAGCTGAGAGCATGCTTAAAGAAAAAAAAAAAGCAGGGGAGGAAGCTATGAAATATCTTGAGAAGCTGGCAATTCTAGAAATTCTAGATGAGGAGGGCTTCTCTTTTCTCTCTTTACTTACTTTTAAGGACACAGCTAAAAAAAAGAAAGAAAGAAAAAAGAAAAGCATGAGAGTGCTGGCTATGTAGATGTCCAGGGAAGATTATTCCAGGCGAAGAGAGGAGGAAGTGGAGGGCCCCTGAGTGGCATGCCCAGCTCAGCCCAGGAACACCGGGAAGAGCAGCTTTGCTAAAGGGGAAGCGGGATGGAGTCAAAGGCGAAGGTAGGGAAGGTCCTGTAGGCCCTTGGAGATGATGACCTTGGAGACCATGGCCCTTTTACTTTGAGTGAAATGAAAAGCCATGAGAGGACTCGAGCCTAAGAGTGACGTGATCAGATTTAAGTTCTAACAGTCATTCTGCTGCCGGGTTGAAAATAAACAGAAGTGGGGCAAGGGTGGACACTCTAACAATAGAAAAAGAACATGGTGGGCATTGCTACCAAGAATGCTTTATATATTTTAAAGGTGAACTGGTAAAGGGCTCCTGGGTGGCCCAGTCGGTTAAGCATCTGACTACGGCTTAGGTCAGGATCTCATGGCTCATGAGTCTGAACCCTTCGTGAGGCTCTGTGCTGACAGCTCAGAGACTGGAGCCTGCTTCCGATTCTGTGTCTCCCGCTCTCTCTCTCTTTCTGCCCCTCCCCTGCTCACATTCTGTCTGTCTCTCTCAAAAAATGAATAAATGTTAAAAAAAATTTAATAAATGAAAATAAAGGTGAGCCGGCAGGATTTATTACTGGGCCAAATGTGGGGAGTGCAAGATGGGAGAAAAGAATGAGCCCAAGCTTTTGGTATGAGCAAGTGCAGGAAGGGAACTGCCATTGACTGATAGGATAGAGACCAGAGGATGCCTGGTAAGGACATGCACATAGCATATCCCTGTGAATAATCAGGCAGGCTGTGAATTACTCAAGACTCCTCAGGCTTTTAAACCTTGATAATGGATGAGATCACTTAGCATAGATAGAAAAGTCCAAGGACAGAGCTCTGGGGGATTTCAACATCAAGATCAGAAGGAAGAGAAGCCACCATGATGGACAAAGAAGAAATGACAATGAAGCAGAAGGCGGGGAAAGTGGGTTTAGAAGCCAAAGGACAGAGTAGCCAAATTCATCAAATGTTGCTCTCTGGGACGAAGAGGTGGCCAGTGTGGTTAGTGAGGTTGGAGGCAGGGAGGATCTTGAAGAGCACAGTTTCGATGGAATGGTGAGGGTGAAAACACCATAGGAGTCAGTACCAGAGGGCAGAAGAGAAATGAGGAAAAGAGAAGGGAAGGGAAAGAGATAAATGAAAGAGTACCTGCAAAGGGTCGGGAGACCGGTGAGATGAGTGTTATTATCACCATGTGACCTGATGATCAAAACGCCTTGATGGCTTGAAACAAATTGCCCAAGTTACAAAATTTGTATCCAGTGAGAGCCAGTTGTAATGACTCCAGAGCTCATCATGTTAACCTACACTCCACAGCAAAGGGATGAAAGTCAGTCATTCACAAATCAATCTATTTATACCAGGACTAGTCCACATCCAGCACAGCCCAAGTTGTGAGCACTTACAGAGAACGAGCTATTTACAATTTCTTCTGTGCCACCCCTCACATCTAGAGCCTTTTCACATTATTTTAACTGAAACTCTTAAGCAGGAGGAAAGGAGTGCCTTTACTAAAGGTGTTAACGTCACATTGGAGAAAATTGCTGCCGGTCCCACCTAATCCTGCAGGGATGTCCAATCTTCTCATCCGGCAGGAATATTTGGCCACCTAATGCTTTGTAGCAAGTGTTGTAGACTTTTTATTTTATATTCTTCTTATTTTCTAAGTGAGTTCTGAATTGGAACGAAGAGCCCTTCCCCTGTGTCTGTACCTAAGGAGCTGGGTGACCAGGGGGCTTCACTTAATTCTTCGAAAGTGACCATGTCCTCACTTATGAAACAAGAGACCAAGGCAAGTTTATCCCATTCTAAATTTCTTGTATGTTTTATTTATTTCTGAGAGAGATAGAGAGACAGAGAGAGAGAGACAGAGAGAGAGAGACAGAGAGAGAGAGAGAGCATGAACAGGGGAGGGTCAGAGAGAGAGGGAGACACAGAATCCGAAACAGGCTCCAGGCTCTGAGCCTTCAGCACAGAGCCCGACGCGGGGCTCGAACACACGAACCGTGAGATCATGACCTGAGCCGAAGTTGGACGCTCAACCGACTGAGCCCCCCAGGCGCCCCAAGTTTATCCCATTCTAAAACCGTAGGGTTCTGTGGACTTATTTCCAAATTCCTTAGCTCATTGGCATCCGGGATTGTGACCTTAAAGCCCCAAGGCACAGAGCGCGTGTTGCCAGGTCCCTCTCCATAAACGCATGGATCACCTGACACGTGTGGATTGGAATGCGGTCACTCACGTTATACGCTCTATTGAATATGCATTCTTTTCATACTCAGCATACCTTGACGTGATCATTCTGGCACGTTTAAAAAAAAAAAAAATGAGGTCCTTGTCGGTGTCTTCCCTTCTGGAAACCAGGATCTTGGGACTTCTCCCTCCCCATCTGCCACATTCCTAACTAACCAGAAAAGCATTATAACTTCAACGTTTAGAGACTTCCTAAAAGAATTATTTTGAAAGTTTCGAGGAACAGAGTCCAGCAACCAAAGGAGGGGTGGGGTAAGTCGAGAAGTGCCCTGTTTCTTGTCCACCTCCCGAACCCCCCCACTCCCCCCCCCCGCCACGTGGATCACCCGCTAGGGGACCCCGCCGGCCCCTCGGGTCCCCGCAGTCTCCTCCGCCCCAGACCCTCCCAGGGCCAGAGCCGGGGACCCCACGCGGGGAAAGAAGGGGCCCGGCCGCTACCTGGCGGGTAATAGCGGAGCAGGAGGCTCTTGAGTTTCATTTTCTCCTGTGCAGACCCCAGGTCAACGCTCTCGTAGCCATGGAAACGGCCAAACAGCGGCGGGGCGGCTGCGCGCATGCGCGGGCTCCCAGCGCTAGGAGCCAGGCGCGCGGGCTGGGGCCCTGCGGGCTGCGGAGCGGGCGGCCCTGCGCGGCCCCGGGTCCGCGGCCCCGCGAGGCGCCGCCGGGGAGCGCGCCCTGCCCCTGCCTGCGCGCTCCCGGGGGCGGACGGGGGCTCCAGGGCGCGATCGCAGCCTCGCTCGCGCCCCCAGAGTCTGCCTCGGTGTCTGGGCTGGACAGAGACGGGGTCCCCTCGCGTCCTCAGTCGGGGTGACCTCACAAGGGGCAAGGTGTGGGCCGGGTGCACTGCGGCCCGTTGGGTTTCCAAGGAGGAGGGATGGGAGAAAAATGCCCCCCCCCCGTCACCATTCCAGGCCCCTGCGCATGCCCTGTCCCTGTCCCCACGAAAGAATTAGGACCACCACTGAAGAGGCTACATTTCCTGACGCTGCGCCAGGGACGTGATACACCTATTGTGATAGAGACTAACAGAGAGGTAGGAGTTGTGCACCGTTTCTTACTGTCCCATCTCACGGATGAGACAACTGAGATTCACAGGAAGTAAAGAACCGTCCAAGATCCCAGTGAGGTAGCGGCGGAAGCGCGAGGAGAAGGCTGTGACCTGGGGCTCACAGCGGGCCCCAAAACCCGGGTTTAAGGCTCTCCGGACCATCTAGTGGCCTGTCTCATTTCTTGGCAGCGTCTGTCCTTTGCCTGCCAAGTTGAGGTCCCGTTAGGAAAACTGGAGGGCAGGAGTCTGCGAGCCCGATTGCCCATTGCCTTTAAGGAATCGGGCCCAAGTTCCTAAGTCTGAATTTCCCCAAAGGTGAGCACTTCCTGTGTTGACTTCACAACCGTGGGCGCCCTGGCATTATCATCCCCACGACCCCCTACCTGAAAGTCTTCTCTAAGTTCTTACAATTTCTCTAAAGTGACTTGCTTATTTTACTTCTCCTTTTTAAATGTGAGTTGAAAAAGAAAGCTGTTGTTAATCCTGTAAATTAAAAATTGAACGTGATTTTCAGTGAGGAGCTGCAAGTAAGTGTAAAAATAAATGTGATTATTTATGTATTTATTTAAAATGTTTATTTATTTATTTGGGGGGAGGGGCAGAGGCTCTGCACACCTACCAGCCGGTGAGATCATGACCTGAACTGAAACCAAGATTCTCACACTTAATCGAATGAGCCATCCAGGTGCCCCAAATGGGATTTTTTAAACGCTATTGAATGAGCCTATACTATTGCCTATCATAGACCATGAACCAAAGGCCTCCCTTTTCTTAAAAAAAATATATATAAAAAATAAATAAATGGGAAAACCAACAACCATTTGAAATTTTCAAGACAGCGGAGCACCCAACTGAGCCTTCTACTTCATGTACCCAGGAAATTGGAGAGATCAGTGAAATGGGAGAGCCTCGCTACTATGTGATACAATTAAGCCTAATACGAAGGGGCAGCACATAGAAATCATGGCATCCCACAGCTGGGAAACAGAAAATCAGATGAAATCTAAAGATTCCTTCTAGATCAAACTCTGCCCTCATCATTAAGACTCTGGGAAAGGTTTAAGTATGGAAGGGCCAAGAGTTTATCTATAGAAACAAGGTAACCTTTAGTAGATTTTTTTCACCCATTTATTGTTTATGCTGTGACATTTAAAATGAGGCCTTTGGAAAACTAGTATATAGAGACACCATTTAACCAAAGTTAACATCCCCAATATAGGGACAAACTGACTTCCATATCTCCTATTACAAAGCACTGAAAAGGCTACAGCAATTCTCTGGGATTCCTGCCTGCAATGTATTACCTGTGTCTAATGAGGAAACATCAGGGCAACCCCAGCTGAAGAAATTGCACAAAGTAATTGTCAAGGTCAAGAAAGTAAAAGACTACTGAACACTACTTCAGATTAAAGGACACTAAAGACATAAAACAATTAGACACACTCAGTGATCCTGGGTCCTGAACCAGGAAGAAAATTAACTGTAAAGGACATGGTTGGGACATTTGGATGAGATTTGAATGGAGACGGTGGTTTAGATAATATTATATTAATATGATATCACTATTAAGTCTCCTGATTTTGATTATTGTACTTTGGATGTATAAGTGAATATATTTGTTCTTAGAAAAAAATACACAGACTTATTTAGAGATGAAGGGGTATGATGTCTGCAATCAACTCTCAAATGCTTTTTGAAGAATTTATGTTTATGTATGGGGGGTGTGTGTGTGTGTGTGTGTGTGTGTTTGGATAGGTAGGTGGATAAGAAACAAAGCCAATGAGGAAAATGTGGAATCCAGCCAGGCAAAGGGCTCCTTTTGAAAAGTTCCTCCTACAACTCTTGCAACTTCTCCATACATTTGAAATGATTACAAAGAGTGGCCTTTATTTTCCACAGAACAAGCCAGGCTTCAGAACGCTCCAGGATATAGATAACAACCACAGTGCTATTGGGCTCCACTTTTGTTAAGAGAGTCACAAGTTCACGTTCACTCCCTGTTTCACCGCTAATTCTGCCTCCATCTTCCTCTACTTATGAGCCAAGAGCCTCCACCATTGTGACCTATCCTTCCCCACTCTCTCCATTGCAAGTGGCTCTTGTCTTTCTGCTCCAAGTAAAGGATTTCTCCTGCGCCCTTGAACCAAAATTTAACAGGTTGTCTTTTTGCTTCTTTAAAAAGAATGTGAGCTCTGAAGCTTCAGACACCCTTCCCTTGGCTCGAAGAAGTTAAGCCAAGTTCCCCCACTTAAGTTAGAGAACTTCCTCGCCACCTCCACATCGAATCCAGAGCCCTGTGGGTGTTGCAAGGCCCTTGGTGTTGAGGTCTGATCTTTCCACAGCCCATGCCCCCCAGAGGTCAGGAGCCCTCACCTCTGTTGTTGCTTGAGAGTCATTTATCTGGATGTCCAAGCACCCTGACATCCAGTTTCCCCCAAGTCCCTAGATATTCTCCTGATAGGATTCCTAGTGCTCTGACATGACAGCCCAGAATCTTGTCCCCAGTACCCAGTGTAATTCCCCCATCCCCTTTTTGGAAGGCAGTAGGATTATATGCAAATGAAGTGGTGATCCACAGGAAAGCAAACCAAGTTCATGAGTGCCGGCAGATTTCTCTTTTTGGCCCTGGCTTCACTTGAGGTTACAGCTACACTTAATTGACTCACCATTTACTCATTCCCAAAACATGCTGCATGAAATCTCTCAACCGGAGTCAAAGTCTGTTTCACGCTAATTCAGTCCCAGCGCCGAGCTATGAGCCATGAATGATGTGCAGAAATTTGCAAAAACAAAACTCCGACCTTGTGCAGGTAATGGGTTCTCATCTCAGCGTCCGACTGACTGGGTATGACTTCCTCACAGGGCTATACCTTCCTAACTGTTGTATAATCCTTCTCATCAATTCATCCCATTCTGTGTTGATTTGAGCACCGTTCACTCTCCAGATCAACAATGGCCGTTCACATGGATGTGTATCTATAAATGTAACTCTTGACTCTGGGTCTCTTCTCACTGGCCCCTGCCTTGAAAAACCAGAAACTTAAAAATTAGTAGCATTAATTTTACTTCCCCAAACTAATTCCGTCTGGCGAATTGAAGCCACTCTGGGTTTCACTTCTCAGTGTGTCCCTGGACTAGCAGCATCCATATCACCCATAATTGGCTAGAAATATACATCCTACGGGATCAGAAATGCTGGTAGTGATGCCCAACAATCCATGTTTGAACACGCTTTTCTGGTGATTCTGATGAGCAATAAAGTGTACAGGCCACACAGTGGGTATAGTAAGTTACCGTGGCTTGGCCCGGGCTGAAGTCGGGTGCTTTCCTTGTACTGTCATGCCTGTTATGTATCCTGAACAATCTTCCCTGATCGTCAGGGACAGTAAGCTGGTTGGTCAGCCACATAGGACGTTGTGAGTAAGACCCAGAAACAACGTGGGAAGCACTGGAATTCTCCACGCAGTTGGGTTTCAGAGGCTTCGATGCACTGAGAGACACCGGGAGATACCGGACTGCGAAGGAAAGCTGGGGGCCGGCGGATCTACAAGTGGGAGACTAGAAGGAGGCGGAGAAGGACCCAGGAAGGGAAGCTGGAGAATCCGGCTCAGCACTGACGCAAGACAGATGGGCAGGAATGGGGTTTCACCTCCAGCAGGGCTCCGTGGTTCCCATTTGACCAGTTCCTCCTGGAAAGAGCCATGGCATCGATGAGAGGTAGACACTAGTCTTTGGGGCACCTGCAGAAAGCGGTCCATGAAAAAGGTGCAGTGCCGTTCCGGAAAGAAAGTACAAAGAATGAGATCTGAATGTTCAGAGACCGGCAGTACTGGGCAGGGCTGTGCCCCCCAGGTAAGGGGACCCCAGCACAGCAACCCCAGACGGGCTGCAGCCAGCCTTTTGAACCTTCTTCCCCTTCCTGCCTCCACACCACTGAAGGACTTGTCAAGTACCTAATCTGACCTGGGACCGGAAAACCCACAGGGCCAGGGGCCACTGACTGAATCACTCAGTAAGTACGCACAGAGGACATACCAGTACGAGCCACGATTCAGGTGCAAGGGATCTAAATCTGGAAAAAAACTATTTGGGGGAAGTCATTCCTAGAAAGGGTCAGACTTCGGGTGGTTTGAAACTATTGTGTTTAAGGATGGGGACATGTCTCTAGGTGGGATTGCATTTACCCTCGCGGAGGGATCACTATGGGGACACGCAGGCCACGTGGATGGGGCTAACCCACCAATAGCTTTTGCCACTAAGAGCAGGAAGCTTGATGTGAGTCCAGGCTCTGCTATCTGCCAGCCGTGGGCTCTTAGGCAAGGTCGGTGACCCCTATGGCTTCAGTTTCCTCATCGGAAAGATAAGAATGAGCCCAGTATCTAATTAATGGGGTTGTTATCTCTGTGTCTGGCTTGTTCAGAAATACTCTGTAAGTATCAACGATGGTGGTGATAACAAGCATTTGTTTTCCTAAGGTTAATTGTTTGAAATTGGGGAAAGGGTGTATGCCTATTGCTCCCACTTAAAGCGATAATCTAG